GCTCCTGCCAGCCTTGCGGTCGCCTGTTGCCCCTGTGGCTTTCACCTTCCGCTCACTGGGGTTCCCTCCGTCTCCCCGTTTCCCCCCACCCTTTGCTTCCTTGTCCCCTGGTTTTGTGCCCTCTGTGTTTGCTCCCCATCCCTGTGTTCCGCCTTTATTCCCTCCTGGTCCCTTTGTTCGTCCTGTTGGTTTTCTTTCCCCTGGTGTGGTCCCTTCGTTGTTACCGTCTTTGGTGTTCCTGTGTCTCTCTGGTTTCCCCGTGTTTTGTCTGTTGTCCCAGTTGGTGTTTTGGTTCTTGTTCTGCATGTCGGTGCTGTTTCCCGTGGTGCGTTAAAGTTCTTGCTTTTGTTTTCCCCAAGTCCTGTTCTGTGCTGTCCCCAGTTCTATACCCTCTGGTCCCTTTGGGCGCGCCTGCTCGTCCGATCCTCCTATGTGCCCCAATGTGCCCATGTGGGCACATTGACCTAAAATTATCACGGTATTTTCCACTTTTTGAATGATGACAGTTTTATATCAGTGTATTACTTTTTTCCAAGTTTTGGGAGGAGCAACATGTCCTGTTCCTTTCATGGCCTGCTTGTCCGATCCTCCTGTGTGCCATGCCCCCTTCTTACCTTGTGTGGAATCCCGGTGAATCTCTTGCTGCGAGAGCGTTGCAATTCCAGTTCCATATCCACAGGATAGAATAAAGACACTCCTCAGATTGTGTAATACGAGAGTTACAAAGTAAAAAAAGTAAACAAAAAGACGTAGAAAACACAAAGACACGGAGCTAAAGGACATGCTGCCACTCACGTCGGCGCCCAGTGCAATCTTTAAAAACCTGTGCTGAGAGACACCAAATGATGATGATTTTTTTCTTGTCGTCACCAAGATTTTTAAAGCCACCAGTGCAGACGTCGAAAATTCAATCAGTCTTCATCGATTCTCTACCCTCTGATGTACATGCCAGTGTGTCAAAGTTTACAAAAGACTTAAGTGTCTTTAGTGCAAAAGAGGTCACTATTGAAGGAATATCTTTTGCGATTGGCATGTTTGTCTGCTCTGGTGTCAAAAACGCCTTACCTGAGTTTAAAGAAATCAGACACATATTACTGCATGGCAATGAAATTGCTCTCATAGTGAAAGATTATGAAGCATGGTACGTTGAGCATTTGCACTCATTTGAATTGACTGTTCACGAAGGAAAAGGCCATAGTGTATACTACTGTATGTACATCAGCTGAAAGACCAAACACCATTGTTTGCTTATAGATTGTCTGATAGATTAATTCTTACACCTAAACATTTCATTCCAGTTTCTGAATAGAACAGTAAATCCCATCTTTGTACACAGCCCAATGACACTTAGACACAGATGAGTCAATCCTATGTATTGCACACTGCCCTATGTCAGTGTACATAGCATTGCCCTAAACAGCTATGAATTGTCCAGTCAATATAAAATAAATATGCACACACACTAAACTCTCCTCAAATACAGTGACACACAAACTACTCTTTCCCCCCATTTGTCCCCACATCCCTCTGATTTGTTTACTCTCAAACCACACCCATACCACCTCTTACCTCTCACTGTTAAGAAACTTGATTGATAGATAAACATTTAACTGTTTGAAGGCTCGGGCTGACATTAGAATGTAACGAGATGACTGGTGGTGTGTAATAGATTTTGTGTAGTAGATTCTTATGGCTTTACTACAGTTGCAAGATTACATAAATAATGTTTTGTTTTTTTAGGCTAACCCACTCCTTGACAGATGGCATCACCTCTAAAGTTGCGTGTCATCCTCGATGATGAAAATGCTGAAAAACTCCTTACCCTTTCGCCCTGAGACAGTAAAAGACCTGATATCTATAAACAAAAATAAGTTTGACCTGACTCGTGACTTCAGGCTGCAGTTTGAAGATCCTGATTTTAATAATGCATAGAGGACCTTCAATCCAAAGCAACCATAAAAGTGGTTAGTTTAACTGACTTGGATATCAGCTCCTGTAGCACCGATGATACAATGAACCTGTCAGATATCTTAGACTCCCCTGATCGGGTCTGTAGCTGGCCTGATGACTTTGTTGTGCCCACTTTTGCCTATGAGGTGGAGTTCCTTTTGGGAGAAGGCAATAGTGCTTTTGAAAAAGAAGGGAAACATATGAGGCTAACCAAAGATCAGAAACATAACATTCTGGAGTATATGGCTGCTGAAATGTATAAATATAAAGCTTACCCGAGTGGTAAGCAATTCAAAAAGGTTGCCAAGGCATTGGTGACTAAACACCTATGCTTGAGGGAGAAGGGCTCTGGGACGGGCTACGATGGTTGGAAGAACAGTTTGCGCTACAAGATGGGAAACTATAGAACCAAACTATGCCGAGGATGTCAATTAATGCGGGAAAGTGCAGTCAGAGCAGTCCATGGGCAGCACCATCCCAATCTGACATTAAAAGACCCAGAAGAGGAGAAATTAACTTCCTCCCCAATTATCCCTCGGGTGAAACTAAGGACACTTTAGAGTCTCAGAGGAATGCCCTTGTTCATGAATTCCAAACGGTTTCAGCTGAAAGAGATGCAGCACTCATCTACCTGCTCATGCAGTGCACTTTTGCCCTGAGACACGAGATCATCAACTCTTCACAACCCATAGCAGAACTGAGAAATCGATGGCCTGCCCTCTTTTGTGAAGCCCAAGTAAGGAAAAAGCAGATTTTCTGTGAAAATTATGATCATAAACTGTTAAGATAGCATTCTCTAAATTACAGTGACTAATTTGTTTGTTTATTACGCAGCTGTACAAGGAGTTTCATAGTATCACAAACCAAAACCTGCCATTTTCTTTTTTTGCCTCACTGGATAAATACACACCACACCTTCTGAAGCTGTACAAGCAAAAGCCGAGAATTACTAATCTTCTGTCAGACTACAGTAGACAGGTAAGCATCACGAGTTGTTGAATGATATGGTGTTGGATAGATTCACAAATCAACACAAAGCATGTTGTCCTATGTCCAACACTTAACAGGATAAAGACGACATCCAGGCAGCTAGAACAGCAGTTCTGTTTGGATTGGTGCTGTATTTGAATGAAGATGCATCTGACATCTTCAAAAGTTGCAAGGTGTGTCCTATATTCTCTCCTATTCCTTAGCTCTGATTCAATACAGTGTCAGACCTCTCATACTTTCTTCTATCACTGTCATCCTTGCTTCGGGATCCTTTCTCTTACAATCATGCTTTTTCCCTTTCCTGCCTCTTACCCTCACCACCACATTACATATACACAGTCTCTCTCTTTACCTATATACAACAGGCACAAACAAACATGACTGTCTCACACTGACACTCACATACACTCATGATTTTTTTATTACACACACCAGATCACTACTAATAGCAATATTTATGACAAACACTCCTTGTATCCTTATGTAATGTCTTTTGTTATGTATATTCAGGAAGAAGACTTTGACGAAAACCAGAGAGGAGCCGTTGCACTTGTGGCCATCACAGATGAGAGTGCATCAGCAGTTCCTTTTTTTCCCTTTCAATGAGAGATTGATTGCTTTACATATTTGAACATACTGTATACATTTTTGTTGAACATATGGAAATGACTAAATCACTTTTAGTTAATCAGCTGTGGTCGATTTTAGATTTTTTTTGTATTTATTTTTAATGAAAACCAGAACATTTTTATTTTGGTATGCGCACAAGCACATTTTTCCTTTTCCTTTAATGAAACTTCAAATGCAAATGTATTGTACTGAATTTTTTGAGTTGGAAAAAAGTTGTAAAATGTCAACATTTTGTTTAATGAACTGATTTTATTGATCTATGTCTCTTGCTAAATATTTTTAGAGTTAGAGTAACTGAAATAGTTTAAGGCAATCGGTTTTCTTAAAGGAATTGAGTTGAGTTGTAAGCTCACAGTATTAGTTATCATCACTCAAATGGTAGTAGTGATGTTCAGATGGTTCATTTTTGTCCATCTTAAGTAGTTAACTAAAATGAGTGAAAAACATTTCATTTGAGTGTCCCAAGTTCATTTTAATCATAATACCAATTACACATGTACTGGTAACTCTCACTTACACTAAAATTATTTAAGTTATTAAACTCATATGGTTCAAGGCAATCGGTTTTCTCAAATGATTTGAGTCGTCTTAACTTGCCAGGTTTTACAGTGTGGGGCCAATTTTGAAACATTGAAGTGGAGAGGCAACATATCTGCCCCATATTTGCAAGCATTACTGCTTTTAAGAAAGGATGAGATAGATAGGTTTTTGCTCTGGTTGTACTTCTTTAATGGAAAAACAAAGGATGCATTTGTCTTTAACAGTAGTTCAATTGAGTTCACCGTATAGAAATAAGCAATATGAAAATTGTACGTTTTCGTAAAGAGTTTAAAATCTCGGTTTTAGTTAGAAGGTAGATATTGCTGTTGACATGTAGAAATGTGTTCCACATAGCCTGGTATTTTCATATAGACACATTTGAGAATTGCATGCAGATACTAGCTATAGCATAAGATGGATGATTTTAACAACTAATAAGTTTTTTGTTTTGCAGGGTTCCAGTCTGCGCAGGACTGATGCTTCACGTTGTATTTATTACTCCGCAATAATTTTCACTCTAACATTGGCTACACACGCCAGAACCGCTGAACAATTCATTTTTGCTAACAATTCCTAAAGATTGCTGAGGTGTAATCCTGCAGTTTGGGTGCCTTGGTAGCCAGTATTGACGGCTGCGCTATCCACCGAAATATATTGCTGATTTTTCACAATGGAACGAACCACGATGCAGAGAAGAATGTCACGAAACAACAAGCCGGAGATTGCATAGTATATGTAGGCTACAGATTTCGTAGAATGGGCTGGGTCGAAACACGCTCATTTTAGTTTAGTTCACAATAAAAAAAAAAATTCTAAATTTAATAATTTGCCTTTTTCAGCACATAAGCTAATTATAATCTATTTACTTGGAATGTTATTTAAATACTTACCTACTGTTGATAATACGGTGCAACAAAAAAACAGCGACCCAAAGAAGTTCCACCTTTCTGGGCTTTCAAGCCATATAGGATTGAATTTTTTTGCGATTTGATCCACCTTCTTCATTAAAAGTTCATGATTATCTGAAAGAAAATATGACAACGTTGAAACATTTAGCTTAATCCATATAGGCTATAATTTAATAGGTTAAGACGTTTGCTAAAAAATTTCAGTACAACAAATTAAGGTATAGTATTTAATTTACAGCTACAATTTTAATCAAATTACCAACTCTGGTTTTTAAGAAATTTATTTCTTAAGATTGTCTTACCTGAATTATTTACTGTATCCACGAGTGCATGTAGGAATGCATTGTATTCGTTTTTTGTCGTGTTAGACTGACCTTCAATGTGACTAAATACCAAAGCCCCAAAACAACCATATACCGCTAGTGACAGGATAAGGCAGACGTGGGGAAATATAGTCCACAACCGCGAGCATCTGGATCTCTCCGCAATGTTTCGCTTTTCAACTGCACGAGACATCTTTCGAGCAAGTGCTATTAGATATAATGAAGCAATGTGTTCATTAGCAGTTTTTCCATCTCAAGAAGTCACGAAACAGGGAGAAGCACACGTGTTCTGCCCTTTTTTCCTAACGACAAAAAAATTAAATGATTCCAAGCAATATTACGCATGCGTAAATAAACACTGCATGACCTGTCTACAATGTCTGAAACATTTTGCTACCCTTGCGAGTTTACGTGTATGCTTTAATTATCAAATTTTTTTCATATTTCGTTGATGCTTATGTTTATAACTAACGTTCGAGGTGATTGTTAATACATTTTTTGTATTCTTACGGACTCTGAATTCCGTAAATATGTTTCGTAAAAATTTAACATTAACTCAAAAGTGTAAATTGATATAACTGTTAAAATCATTTCAAACAACTCAAGCATTTAAGTTTTGACAACTACATCTATTGTCGTGCAAATGTTCCTTTTAAGATTAAAAGCAGACATTACTTGAAAAATATCAGGAAACCGATCGCCTCAATTTTATAATTATAAGCTTAATTTAGAAGAAATAGTTGAAAGAGCACATTCACAATAGATATCACATTCAGAATATAACAACTGTTTGACGGTTAAAACAGTGTTTGTTTTAACACTATGCTGGTACATTTAAAAAATTGTACTTTTATTTGTTAGAAACTCGAAAGCCTTCCTGTCTGGATGTTCAGAAAAAGATCAATGCTCAAGTGTCATGCAAAATATAAAATGGATGTTCAACTGATAATGGTAAACATCATTTTGATTTATCTCAAAAGTTTAAAGGTGACATAAATTGTTTATAAAAGAATCCAAAATCTGTATATCATTGGCAAGGCTTTGTTTTTTTTTTTTTTTACTTTACAAATGTCATGCCACCATCCAGTGGGTTAATCCACTATGCTTCCCAAACCGGAATGTTGTTTATTTGATGCCAGCCTTATCTATATATGCAATTCATTGTCAGCTCGCACATTTTCACGTTTGAGATGTGCAATATACATGCCCACATGTTATATGCCTACTCACACTCTTTTGTAGGCTGCCATGGTTAAACTACTAAAATCATAAAGACTGATATTTGAAACCATCTTGCGAGAGGTGTTCATTTATCAGGAGAAGGAATGACACGGTTATCAGGTATCTATTCAAAAATGTTTTCATAAAGGATTATATTTGTATGCCATAGCTTTACAAAATCCATCAGAAATTATGGTCCTTGATTTGTGGTCTGTAATGAAGTGTATAGATCGTGTGATGGAAATTTTCATCAGTAAGAAGTTTCACCCGCTTCTGTTAAGAGAGAAACTCGCTTTCAAGTCATTTCTGCTTTTATATTTGCCGAGAAGACACTTGAATTGTTATTTCCGGTTCGTGCAGATCAGAGTGGAGAAGGATGCAGTTTGAATCTATGATAACAACCTAGAAGAGAACCAAATGCATATATCATATAATACAATGTATTGATTTTATAATACTGTAGAACGGCAGAGTGCCAGCATGCTTTGCAAGTAAATAGTCCTGTGTTGTGTTGTGATTGTTAATACTTTGTATATCCTAATTGTATCAGGTATGTAATTTGCCCATGTCTAATGTGAACATTGTCCAATCCTCGAGTGTCTTTAGCATTGTTACCCATATGAGTAAGTCTTCTCGTCATTTGTTTTTTTCTACACTACTTCGGTTGGTCCGGGGCTCCAGTACAAATGAAATGTAACTGCAGTATACATTTAAGTGCAAGACAGTACAAAGGGCGTAACGAAATGAAATACTGTTACTTTGTAGTATAGCAAAGGATGTTTTTGAGATATTCCATGGCAAAGAGACTAGGGTAGAACAGGAAGAGGAATGAAAGAAGTGAAACAGATGAGATAAAAAATGCAGGATGTTCATAAAGATATGAGTGAATATTCAAAGTCAACCCACATTCAGTTAGAATTAATTTAGAAATGGATGCACGTTGAAGGTCACATAAGGCATAATTGTACAAACACCGTACTGAGCATTTTCGTGACAATCTTCTCTGCAGGGTATTAAAAATTTCAGCTAAGTTTGCTTGTTTTATTGGACCTGATCAAAGAATTGCTATGACAGTTGATGTTTAGAAAAGTACATGGTTCAACGTACAGGAAAAGAACTATATAAGATTAAATATGTTTGACTTCTGTTGTTTTGAAAATACAATTGATACCATTCAAAATTTCTGTATTTTCTTTATACAGTCATGTTTCAGTTAATAACTAATAAATCAAAGATACATATTTTTTTATAGCTTAGAAGTCTTCATTTGTTTTTGTAAAAGTCCCAGTGTGTCCTTATATATCCATTTCTCTCATCTCATTCCTCTCGTTCAAGTGTTCTTCCTGTAAAGGTGCCTTGTAGCCAAGGCAGCTGAAATGTCTCTGCTTAATGTTAGTGGTGTAAATATTTACCTAAAGGTTTTAATATAACATGTGACATGGTGGCCCCCCACAAATAAGACCAATGAGACCAAATATGTGAGAGAAATTGGTTTTAAAAAGTGTATTTGTATACATTACTTTAAGTTTGTCACTAGTGAGCCTAGGAACAGAGTTGTACTGATATTTATACTGCATATTGTAGGCTTAGAAGTAGAACTCCATGCACTTATTGATATATGCTCAATGTAGTATTTATGATAGTGGACTCGAAAGGTTTTTCAATGATACTGTAGCATTGCGCAGACCGAGGCATTGCGAAAGACAAGGAGACTTGCTTGCCAGGTCAGAGGTAAGGTGACGGGGGATGAGGGATTGGGTGGCACACGATGATTACAGCGCATTGCCACACCCACTACATGACAAACCATCTCAGGGATGAAAACCTGAGTGCAGCTGTGCAGGGGGTGATACCTCAGCACCACACTAGTCCAAATGGACCAGTGTGAGTTTTTGCCAGGGGCTGGAGTGCCAGTCCTGCCACCAACCCCCAGATTTCCCTGTAAGTTGGAGGACCTCCTAAAATGGCTAGAGGTAGATTAACATTCCCAGGATGAAGCAAGGTTAAGGGCCTTGCTCAAGGGTCCAATGGATCACTCCTGGCATTCACAGGATTCAAACCAGCAACTTTCCAATTATTGGCACAGATCCCTAGCCTCAGAGCCACCAGTCCGCCTTACTGGGACAGAACATGCTCTTTATTCTAGGCGCCTAACAAAATACACACAGCAATGAGGATCGGACAGGGTACACACAACACACAGGTAAACATACACTCATGACAACGTGATGGCGCCGGTGTGTGTGGCCTGCCGTCCGCTGCTGTCAGCCCTGCTGGTGTCTCTGTCTGTGTTTGTCTTAATCCTGACAGTTATTTCGAGCAAAGTCAACTGTCTACGGATCTATGATCGGCAGTCACTCCTCAGCATTCGCTCGTCTTACGAAGATCTGACGTATCATGGTTTTGGTGGAAAGAACATTCCTCCCCCTGTACTTCTATCGGATATACCTGCTTGTATATTCCGCGCTCCTGTCCCGCGGCCAAACGCCGGGGTAAGCGCAGTGGTCTGCTGGTGAAGAAGAAGCTCCATCTGTCACTGACTCCTGGTTTTAATCATTGGACTCTGGCATCACATTGCCCATCTGATCGCAGTCGTTTTGGCCCCGTTTACACTGTCTGTTAAATGCGACCTAATTCCGATTTTTTGCTCATATGTGACACAGATCGGATCTGTTCTGTGACAGTGTAAATGGGAAAAAAACGCATGCATTCGGATATTTCGAGATCGGTTTCAGGCCTCATTCATATGTGGAAATAAATCAGATATGGGCCAATGCGACTGTAATGTAAACAGGCAGATCGGATTTTCTGAGGCATTGCGTTCTGTACGTCATTAAACTGCGTACGTGGGAAGTACGTGTGGAAGTGTAACATTCAAGAAACACACGAAACATGGAGGAGGAAAGTGTAGGGCAGTGGTCGACACCTGAAATAGCCTACCTTCTCACCCTGTGGGGAGAAGAATCCATTCAGGATAAAATTAAAGGTTCCTACAGAAACAAATCTGTTTTCGAGGATATTTCGGCTGCAATGATGGCCCTTTTCCTCCTCCTCAAACCCCCGTTGAGCATGCGTGAAATTATAGCAAGTGTAAACACACGAATCGGATATGGGTCACAATTAAAAAGACCGTGTAAACAGACGGTCCAAAAAATCAGATATAGGCAACAAATCGGAATTAGGCATCAAGATCTGCAGTGTAAACGGGGCCTCTGTGTCCTGGCGCTCCCTGGAACCTGCGTACACTTGGCTGAGGCCGATTGTCGCTCCCCCGGTGGAATTCCATACCGATCGCGTTCGCTCACCTCGCTTTCGCAGAGGAGGGGTGAACCTGAGTAGTCTCCGGCCAGTTGGTCGGGCACCCCGGAAGGAGAGTGAACCGGCTTCTATCAGGATTGCATTAGTGAATGCATGATCGCTTGGGAATAAGACATTTATCCTGAATGACTTCTTCAAAATGCACAAGTTGGATCTTTTGTGCCTTACAGAAACCTGGCTAAGCGCTGGTGAGTTGAGCCCCTTCGCAGAACTTTTACCGCCTGATTGCACATACTTGAACTCACCGAGGACAACTGGACGAGGTGGTGGTTTAGCGTCTGTTTTTAAAAATTGTTTTAAGTGCAAACAGTTGCTGGATGTCCAATACTCCAGCTTTGAATTGAGTGTGTTTGATCTAGACTCCCCGCAACGGGTATTATGTGCTGTGATTTACCGTCCACCGAAATAAAATAAGGACTTTATTCAGGATTTTTCTTACTTTCTGTCTGGGATCATGGCCAAATATGATCGTGTTTTAATTGTTGGAGATTTCAACATTCATGTTTGTTGCCCCTCCAAACCTCTGTCAAAGGACTTTTTAAATCTTATTGACTCTTTTAATCTTGTTCAGTCTGTGACTGGCTCCACTGATATATTGGGGCACACGTTAGATCTGGTGCTTTCCTGTGGGCTCCCTGTGCAAAACCTTAAGGT